GAAAAATAAAATAATTTTCAATTTAATATTAATTTTGAAAAAAGATCATCGCGGCCGTTTGGGTATAGTTTTGGTTAGATATTTAATTTTGCTTTTCTTTGGGACCACATTGACTTGCTGCAGTATCAGGGAAGAATATCTATATATATAATATGCGAAGGTATTTTTTGTCCAGGACAAAAGATCTGTACCGACGCCCGATTTTCAAAAATAACATGTCAAATTAAAGCGCTTGGTCTGCAGATGTGGAAATTGGGTTTACTTTACTTTAAAAAAAAATTATATTCAAATTATTAAAAAAAAAACTAATCAATTATTTCAAAGTGAATATCAATCGAAATGGTTTTGAAAAGCTTTATTTCTTAGCTGAACGATAGGAGGGTTGCCACCTGTTTAAAAAATCATATTAGTTATGTATCACCATATGGGTGGCAAACGAAAGAGGTTGGAGGAGGAGGAGTGTTAAAAAATCTTTATTTTGAACGCTAAGAATATTTTTGAGGTGTTGGGAGAGTGTTTAAAAAGTTAAATACAAATTATTTGATAAATTAAATTAATTATTAAAATATGGATATCAATTAAAGGGAGTTTGAACAAATTTTATTTCTGAACTGTATTTAGCGGGGTTGCCACCTATTTGAAAAATCAAATTCCACTTAATTCATCAGTTAATTAAAATATCTATCGCAATGTCCGGCGAAGGAGAGTTAACAAGGATTAAGCTAGAAACTACTTTTGAAGAGGGCTGCCACCTGTTTGAAAGGACTAACTTAATTAACTAATAGAATAGGTATATGAAATAAAAAAAAAATACCTTAGTCAAACGAAAGAATGTTAAGAAATCTTTGGTTTGAATATTTGAAATGTTTGAAGAAGGTCGCCACGTGTTTAAAAAGTGACATTCAAATTATTCAATAAGTTGGATGAATTATTAAAAGATGGGTATCAATCGAAATGGGTTTGAAAAGGCTTTATTCCAGATTTTTTATTTATGAGGGTTGCCATTTGTTCGAACAATCAAATTCAAATTAGTTCATTAGTTTATTGAGATACATGTGTATCATAATGTCAAACAAAAGAGATTTAAGAAGATTTTAGTTTGGGAACACTTTTAAAAAGGAGTTTCAAAAATGGGAGGTCAAACTTTTTTAATCCGTATAGGGTGATTTGAAATCTGACGAAATTGAAAATATGCACTATGCCAGACTGGCACTCGGATCTCTTATAACTCTGACTAATATTTGGAATATTTTTTAAGTTTTTGCAATTCGATTTTGGGCGTTTTAACGCCATACGGGTTCACTAGTAAATAAATGCTACTCTACAGTGACATCAGACCTGAATTTTAACGCTTATATGACGGCAACAATGATCCGTTTGGATGATCAGTCCTTGAGCCTGTTTAGTATACATACTATACCTAATTAGTGGCAAGTCTAAAATGTTATTGTACCTTTGAAGGCCACGTCCTTTAATTTAACACCCAAAAAATGCCTTCGTGTATTATATCTAAGGTAGTAATTTTTAAATATGTGGCAACCCCACTAAAAAAATAAAATAGAGGCTTATTGCACATCCGGAGACCATACCCTTTCAATAATGTATTTAAAACCAACGCGATTTTTTAACCGTTGAAACGTGCACTACATTCAACGGCCACATATATGTATATGTAAATTCAAGACTTTAAAGCCTTTTTTTCTAGCCTTTGATTTTTTGGATTAAGACACTCTTGCATCAAATGTGAGATATGTAGATTTGAGCCCTTTGTGGAACAAGGAAAGTTGTTTCTTGGATCTCAATTACATTCGAAGCTCAGCTAAATTCATATGGCATCAGTGACTGAATAACAAATAATAGGTTAAACAGACACATCTACTTAACAAGTTGCCAACAACGACCCGCCCCAATTGAAAAGCCCTTTATTTGTATATTACATCGGTTAAAACTCCGAATTCGTCAAAAAATATAGGTTAATACTACGATTAGAACGTAAAACAAATGTATGTATGTATGTATGCAGGGCCGGATTCAAGCACAGGCTAACTAGGCGCTAGGAGGCCCGTGCCACATGAAGAATTAAAAAAATTATAAAAAGTGAAAATTTATATATTTACAATCTTTAAGAACCGTAGCTGGCACTGAAGGTGAGTCCTTTTATACCCTAATCGAAGAGAATTAACATTATATGTTAGTAAGCAAAGGAAAATGCGTCGATTTGTCGAGTCGGCAGCGGGTAAAGAGAGCACGCGTGCCATCGCCACAGCCATAGGGATCAGGTCTTAAGCGATCGGAACTCAAACATAGCGAGGTAGAGAAGTGGCAAATCGCACCACAGAAAGAGCCTAGGGGCCCATAGATACTAAATCCGGCACTGTATTCACATATGTATGTAGTATGTACTATTTACATGTCTGTGTAGTTTATGCAAATATGCGCCTGCAGACCCATTGACATATTCGCTGCGTGGAATTATACAGCTTAAAAGGCGCTGAATTTGCGAGCATTCATATTTTGAATTGCATTGACGGCATCCACCCAATGTTGTGCAATCCCTTACATTTCAAATATCATTTATACAAACTATATACATACATATAGTATGTACATAGTTAGCTTAATCGCTTTCCCAGATGATCCAGCCATCATTTGTGTAGATTGTGCAAACTTTCAAATCGTTTGTGTCGCTTTTGGTTCTATAAACACACATTTCTATGGGCATCCGTTTGGATGTTTGTATGTACATACATTGAACTTTTCTACATAGAGCTTAGTAAATATTAGGGACCCGCATGGAATTTCAGCTGTTTAAATGTGTGTATCCTCTCTTTTTGTACACATCAGCATATCAGCGCAAATTTGGAGCGTTCATCGGCCTTTTTGTTTGCATACTTTGCCACAGTCGTTTTATTTTTTTTATTTGAACTTAATTCTATTTGCTAAAATTCTTTTGTAGTTTTTTTGTTTTGTTTAAGTTTTAATCTTCATCTATGGCATCTGTTAGCATAGTCTTCATTGTAGTTAGTATGTATGTATGTATATTTGTATATTCAATGATGTCGTTCTGTTTTTAGCAAAGGCAATAAACTAAAAGAACTTTTTACAGATTTTAGCCGTTAAAAAGGCGGTCATTTGTCAATTTTAGGGCTGAGAGTTCTATCCATATTTTGTTTTACTATTCGTATAATTCGGTTATTCGAATTTAAAAATTACGAATAAAATATATGTAGTAATATTTATACATAAATGTAGCGCAGTTTCTTAAACACCTAATCGCATTCCTCATAAATTTATCAAATTCCATAGCCTTCCAGTTGTGTTAACACAAATCTTCTACATACATACATATGTACGTATGCAAATTGATAAGGCAAACACTAGCCGCACTCAGTTGCGGCATAAGCAGCCAGCGTCGCTTTAATAAATTAACATTTAAAAATTCTTTCAAGACGTATCAAAATGAATTGTTTGCCAAAATAGAATATTTTTAATGGCTTTTTGCTTTTGTCTTCTATTCCTAATTTCCGTTATCAAATTTGAGGCATAAAATTTAAACAATGCGAGCGAAAGCAAAGCCAACACTCGCAAATAAACATACATGAATATGTACATTAGAACGTACCACCTTACAAGCAAACAATTTTTTTTTGCCCAAATATTTTTTGGCCTTATAACAATTTTATTGAGCTTGAGGCCGTTTCTAATGAAAAATGTTGCGTAAAAAATAATGATTAACACCTGGTTGAATTTATAGCTAGACAATAAAGAAAAAATTGTTGTACTGGAATAATCGAAATTCTTCTCTAGTAAAGTTTTTGGTAAGCTTTAATTTATTGACATTAGGCTGGTACGTTACGGTGATTAGAACTGAGATCTGGTGGGTAAGAACTAGAACGGAGTACTTCAGGAGGTCAATGAACTTTGAAGAAAAAAAACTGCCAAAGATGTGACAAAAAAAATATAAAAAGGCGACTCTTACGTTCGGGGAAAAAATGTTTTGTTTTTCGAAATTGCATTGCAAAAATACTTTAGGTTCGAAGGTCTACGGCGATTTTTTTTTTCTGGTACAGTCTAATGTTCATAAGTACATATGTATGTAAAGCAATCTGTGTTTTTGCACCTTCGCTAATATTTTGCTTTTGATTTTATGTTATTCAAATGTACGTATGTTAGCGAAAGAAGCGTCGAAGCATATGTACTTACTCTTCCATCATAGCGAACCACCTTGCGCCCAACAATCAGGTCAGCAAATTATCGCGGACTGGAAGAAGCGATGATATCATCGTCAATATTGTTGAAAATCCATTTCATTTTTCTGTTTAAATTTATCGCATTGGTTTTATTTTTATTTGTTTTGTTACTATTCTTCTATCAATAAATACTTTTTCCGTGAATTATTTTTTTTTTTGTGAAATTTAGTTTGAATTCATTCCAATTTCTTATACGTTGAGTGAAAATTAGTAGGTTCCTTTTTTTAAATGTAATTATTTAATAGCTCTTCTTCCGTTTTTTTTCCATTTCTAAACTTGATAAAATTCTTCAACGTATTTAGACATATTTTGTAATTCTTAAGGAATACTTTTTTAAGATTTTACGTTCCCTAAACAGCTTCCTGTCTATGATCAGGGGCAATTACTAGACCCTGTAGTAAAGCCGAAAATTCCAATCAAGGGAATCTTGTACATTTTAGTGTATAAGACCAATGCTGTCTGTGTTTTATTGAAGACGAGGTCTTTGAGAGCTGTAAATTTTCGATAAATGCTTCGATAACGTTATTGATAATTATAAAAGCCGAGAATGTGGTGGAGAATCTGAGAATAAGAAAGTGAGATAAAATAATTTATATAAGTGCGATAAAATGATCGATATTGTCTATTTAAAATTTTTTCACCTTTTATAAAAAAATCTCCCCCTTTATCTTTTTATTGTAATTATTTCCTTTTAATGTATCAACAGCAAAGTTATTTTATCTTACCACTATTACTTCTTTTTCATTTAAGGCTTGCATTGATGATAATTTAGAAATTGTTGAATTTCTAATCGAACATGGCGCTGATATAAACAGACAAGATAACGAAGGTTGGACGCCGCTACACGCCACAGCCTCATGCGGGTGAGTAAGCAAAGTGCTTTTGAAAGCGAAATTAAAAAAAAAAATTAAATGATTATTTTCTTCTTCACTTAAACTCTTTTGTCTCATTTTAATTTTTTTCGTTTTGTTTTTTTTTGCTTTTCCTTTCATTTCGCGCCAGCTTTGTGAGCATAGCCCGCTATTTGGTGGAGCATGACGCCGATCCGGCCGCTGTAAATAGCGACGGTGACTTGGCCGTGGACTTGGCTGTCGATATACAACATTTGCCGATGATGGATTTCATGCAAAAGGTGATGACTGAACACAATATCGACTGTGAGAAGGCGCGACAGGCGGAGGAGCAGCTAATGTTGAGTGATGCCAAAAAATGGTTGCGCAGTGATGCGTCCGAAGTGGATCGGCCGCATCCAAAAACTGGTGCCACAGCGTTGCATGTTGCAGCCGCAAAGGGTTATACTAAGGTACTGATAATTTTCATATTTCTTTTCAATTTTATTTTTAATTCTAACATCTATTTCATCGCTGCCGATAGGTTATAAGTTTACTACTCGCCGGACGTGCTAATGTCGATAAACAGGACAATGACGGCTGGACGCCGTTGCATGCTGCATCACATTGGGGCCAAAAGGAGGCAGCCGAGATGCTCGTCAATGCTATGGCCGATATGGACGTGCGCAATTATGCCGGTCAGACGTGCATCGATGTGGCCGATCGGAAAATGGCTAAATTCTTGGAGGAGCTGCGTAGCACCAGCAACAAACGTGTCAAACGTCGTCCTTCTAGTCAAATCAGGTTGCAAATTTTAATTTTTGTAAACACTGCATGTTTTGTAATTTTGTTCTTTTCTCATTGTTCTGTTGCCACAGAATCTCAGATAAAATTGAAAATCACATTGACAATACACCAACTAAAATTATACGAGTGGAAGTGAAGTCGGATCAGTCGAAGGATCAGGCAAATGGTACGTATGAACGCATAATAGCTGCGTTACTTAAGCTACGCATTAGATTTAAGAAAAACAACATATGTATGTATGTATATAGATATCTAATTAATTTATGATATTTCTTAAATTGCCTTAAACTGATTATCTTTCACAAATTTTGTTTCTTATTGCCAAATCCCAATGTTTGTTGCCGTTTTGTTTTGTTTTCTATGTTAATTTCCATTAGGTTCACATGGTCGTTAAATCCATTATGCACGTGCTTCCATTTCTCAGATTTTTGTATTATACATATTTTCGATTTCGACAATGTTTTCCACACTATTAAGTTCGACAAAGCACTGCCATTTGCATCTATTTTTTTTACTCATTTCTTTCGACACTATCGGTGGCGTTTACCACACGAGATTGTTGTAAATAAAATAAGTATACCAAAGTTTTATACATTTTGTATTGCATTGTTCCCAATTGTAACCGAATGTCTGTAAATTCTCGTTGCAACAAACACCCAATTTGTCCTTTTGTGCCACTACCGAAACAATCAACTTCAACCTGGCTCATCGTGTCCATTGTGTCGTATCGTTGGTTCCGTTTTTGTAAATACATATGTTTGCCTAACAGCTTCCATATCTGATATTGAACTGCCAATGATCGATAGTAGTGATCAACTGGATCAAGCCCATAATCTAGCGCGTATAGCTGAATATGATGAAACCGATTCTGAACTCACCGACTCAACAGAGAGCTCACATTCGACCAGCCTATCCGAACCTGAAGGTATCTTTTGTAAATGCGTGTGTCTGTGTGTTTGTTTTATAATGTGGAGCTGCACCATTTCTATGTACAATTAGAAGTGTGAATGGTTAAAGAATTAAATGTTTGAACAGGTTTTGTACGAGAGCTGACTCCGTAAGCACTTCTGCAATATAGAAATGGTGTAGCATGTTGGAAAATGTTCGTTTGGTGGTTGAAATTGCTTTTTTATTTACGACAATTTTAAGACATACACTTTTGGACTGTTGCGATTCATATGATTTAGACTTTTGAAAAGCTAAGTCATGCTAAGTTCAGTACAGTTTTATTTTAGCATTTCGTTGACCTATATCCTACTGATAGTTAACCTACGTTTTGTTTGGTATAATTTGGTTGTTTATGCGGAACTCGAAAGAATTATTATTTTACTGTTGCGTTCCACTCTAATTTGTTTATACAAAATTGAATTATATTTTACTTTTTTATTATTAGTTGGAGTGTATTTGAAGTATTGGCCTAACAGTTAACGCATATCTTTAATCAATTACAGATGAAAAATCTAAACAACCGACTGATTCATCCACAGACAACCAACCTGTTGAAGAAGAGGCGCCTTGGCGACGCAATAGTTTGGCACGTGTGCGCACACAAAATGAAAGTCCAACGAAAAATCGTGAGTGTTGCGTTATAAAATTGAAATTTCATACTTTAAAGAAAAATAACGAACGTCTTCACTAAATAACTATTTATTCCTCTTACATCTTTTAGAAGTTCCTGAAAAAGAAGTTAGTAAAACTAACAGCACCACAGAGCCATCAGATGTTATTTTGAGGCGCACACAGAGCTTCGAACACGATGAGAAGTGAGTAAAACGAGCACAAACCTATGTGCCACTAAATTTTAAACTTTTCCACGTGAAATTTGAATTTATGATAATTTGCAAGTTTATTTCTTTTGCCAAATTTATGGAAACATATTTTGCTACCATTTCTGTTTTTGTGTATGTGTTCAATGTCGCCTTTCATGCGTGTTATAATTAAGCTTTTCAACGATGATTTCCGCAGAAATATTGCAATAATTTTTTTTATAAGCACTATTTGCACTGAGCGGCATATTTGATTTTCATATTGGGCCGTATTCTACTTTTCGTACGAATCGAAAATCTTGAAAATTTCCTATCATTTTGTATACAAAAATTTCAAATTTTTGATTCGTACGAAAACCAGAACACGTCTCATTATTTAACATGTACATATCGTTGCTTAGCGAATCGATGACGGCTAATGACTAACTCCAAAGAAATTTTACAGCGCAGACAAAATGCTGCTAATATTCTTTGTCTGTTGTTTAGAGAGTAATTCCCTCGTTATACTGTTAGAAAATATAAATGATTGTATCTATTTTATTTATATATTCGGTCTGATTTCTAAGCAGCAAATAAAGACTGTATATTAGTAGTTTTTGCTGTAAAGTTTCTTTGGAGGTAGCTAGCAGGTTTACACTCTTAAGGCGACGATATGTATGTATCTGTGTTCGTATGGAATAGTAGCTTATGTCGATGGGCTGGCTTTAGTATAAGGCAGCATTCGCAGCATACGATTGCGAATGACTCACTGTCTCATAAAAAAATTCCTTGACGTTTAAAAAATAAAGGGAATGCTGAATTATACTAAATCCAGCCTCCCGACATAAAACTCTCGATCTTCTTTTGATTTTGCCGCAATTATTCAAGTCATATGTATTTCTGAAAATGATATTGTCCATTTACTGGAAGACCTTCGATATTTGAAGAAACACAACTCGGGGGGACCCTAGTAGTTGTCATTGCAATAGCATACATACTCAGAACAGGTTTTCGTTAGTAAAGGTGCATACTATCCCGAAGGGCAAGATACATTTAATAGGCTGTTGTGAAAACGGCCTTAGGAAATAATTTTGGCGCAAAATCTAGTCACTGCTTGACTCACATTTGTATTTGCTAAGCCGCCAAATTTTTATCAACACTTCAGAGTTTTCCTGCACGGTATGTAAGACAACACCGTCTTGGCATATTTTTCAACCTAAATAGCGAGTGGCAAAAATGATTTCATCACTGTATTAATAATAAAATGTGCTCATACACACATATATGATTTCTATTAAAAAAAATGTGTACTCAATCAATGATGATAAGATTGCAAACAATCGAAACGAATAATTGAAACATTTGCTTAGATATCGCTCGCTGCTTATCGGCAATACCTATGAGAGCGGCTGCTGCTTATTTGGCCATGTCACAAATAATTCAAGGTATTAGTTGCAAATGTGCATTTGTGCGGTTCTTAACATTCGTACGTTGGCCAAAATAGGCTCGCTATTTTAATTGTGTCTTTAGAAATAAACTAATTTACGTTGCAACACATATACAAACAACGTGGTAAAATATGTTCGAACTCGTGAAAATTAAAAAAAAATATATATATATATTTTTCGCAATGTTTATTTGTTTTGCCAAAATTACTAATACCAAATTTTATTTGTTTATTGTTTTTTTTGCATACTCACTTTAAATATTCCATCAAACCACAACCACAAACCACCATTACTACTATTCTCACAACCACAACCAACAAACACCATCACCAATCACCATTCAACAACCACAAATCGTCCTGCTAACAATAACAAAATGAAAATCGATGAATGATTTAAATAAAATGGAAACATAAAATCACTGAAAAAAAACATTGGCGCTTTAAATGCATACAAAAAACATCAAAAAATAACCAAATTTCTTACGCTTACGAATTGGAAATGAAATGAATTGGACTTACAAACACATGCAAATGCTTTTGTGGGGAATTTCATTCAAACTAAATCAATGCAGATTCTATCAAAAATATCACGAGCTGCGCGCACGCATAAAAGCCAATTCATGTCCCATACTGCCGGCCACACAACTCAATAGTAACAACAGTAGTAACAGTAATAGCCGCAATAACAATAGCAACAGTAGCAATAGCAATAGCAATAACAACATCAACAATAATAGCAATAACAGTAACAATATAAATAACAGTAAAAGTAACAACACCAATATTATCAATAATCCCACAAGCGCATTAGGCAACGTTTACACGCCCATTCCAAATTATTCGGTACAAAGATCGGCTTCACTCAAAGATCATAGAAATTACAGGTTTGTTAATTTTCTTTAATTTAAATTTTAAAATCAAATTTCAAAAAAAAAAAATCATAATTTTTAAACCATTTCGCTGAGTCATCAATTATTTTGTTTGTTGTTTTATCTTTTTGCTATACTTAATTCATTTTCATCGCTCATCGCTAAATAGTTTGTATGCGACGAAATTTGCTTACTTATAAATCTTATAAATTAATGCTTGCAGTAAATCACTTTTGAGATTTTATATACTTTTAACTTTCTTAAAAGCATTAAACATCGTGTTTTTTATTTTCAACTTTATTTTTTGTACTCTGCCACAGAAGCAATTCGACAAATACGTCGACCACATCAATAACGGCGGCATACACCACCAGCAGCACGCCATCAACAGCTGATTCGACTGCGTCCATAACGACAAGCACCACCACCACCACTTCATCGACAGCTGCAACTACGACACCGATTCGCAGGTGAGTCTTTAATACGAACATCTACTCTGAACACAAAAAAAAATAAATAAATAAATTCGGTACTGAATAAGTTAACTTAGTCACCGTAAACTCCGACTGCGCACTTGGTGGTGACATACCTACATATATTCCCAGACGTTTCTTTTAACCGCAATCATTTATTTATTTTTTACACATCATCTTCTATAATTTCTTTTGAACTTCATAATTTTCCCCCACTTCATAGCACACCTACTAGTTCGGCAAATGCTGCTGACAAAGGTGCCACAAGTGCTGCCAGCACCAGCACTACCAACAATAATAAAAATAATCAAAACAATAATAATAATAAAATCAGCAATACGATCACAAATTCAAACACTGCCAATAATAACAATGATAACGGTAATAATAAGATTGATAATGACCCTAAACAGTCATCGTCATCGTCATCATCAACTTTGTCCGGTCCGTCTACTTCCCCCGATGCAGCTGCGCCAACCACTACTACAAAGCAGAAAATGTCGGCAGGCACAATTTTCAAAAATTTCTTCAAGTAAATATTCACTCTACGAAGTGGAAATTTATTGCGCTGAATTTCTTTTATTGTTGTTTGTTTAACTTTTGTGTTTGCTTCTAATGTTTGCTCTAAATTTTTTGTTTCTAACTGGAATTCTTGGATTCAGGCTGCGTCAGTTGCTTATACTGTTGTATTTATTTGTTGCATATTGCGCGCCATCTTTTAAATGCACTAACTCGACGATTGAAAATTTAAAATTTATTAAATTAATTAATAGTTATTGTTTTTATGTAAATACTAGCCGACCCGGCGATCTTCGTCCCGCCCGTAATTAGATTTTTAATTTAATCGTTTTGGTCCAACATTTTCTCCAACAGTCCACGATTTCCATTGGCAAATTCATCGGCTAAGATTATGGTTTGGTGGTCGTTTGGTGGTCGTTTGCCGCCTTAAATAAACTAACCAAAGTGTTATGTCCATGAAGAATAGTGAATTTGCCCTAAAAACTTTATCTTATAGTTGGTGGCAATTTCAAAATGGATGCGTATCCTTGTCCAACAGAAATACAATATACATACATGAGATGAAATACCTTAAAAGCCAGTTTCACGAAAGCAATTTAAGTGAAAAATTTTTTTTTTTCTGTCAGGTTCTATATTAAATTCAATTAAAAAAATAAATCTTCATTAAATTGCTTTTATTAAACTGGCTTTTAAGGTATTTCGACAGGTAGTGGTTTGAGATTTACCACTGCACAAATCAACCCTGGTATGTCCGAATGAAGCTTTAACGCATAATAATATTGGCAAAACACATCCATTAGGCCAATCGTAATACACGAGAGTTCGATATACTGAATAATGCAACAGGTCGATTTAGTCTGACATTCACGGCAACTTTTCTCACTTGTCGATTTTTAGTAATAACTCGGCCTCAGCATCACCTCACATCTCTTTTTTGCAATTGGACTTCCTTTACCGTTTCCAATACATGTTTTGAATATTCGTCAAATCGGATCATAAAAAAAAGGTTTTTAGTAATAACTCAACTCCAGCGCCAACTGGCGGGTTAAATTGTGAAACTAAACTATCCAGGGACTCACTCAAACACACACACACAACCTTTTTGAAGTCCCTCCAGCCATTTAAGATTTCACTCAAACATACCTACAGAAGAATTATATACACATTCAAAGATAAGGAAAAGTCAGTACGCTTGTACTTTGCCATGCCCTCTTTTCAAAGAGACTACTTTTCTCCATGAGTATGGGATTGATTTCATATATCTCCATACGAAGTTCCAGTACTGTACCATGAACACTTCCAGAGATATACAGTGTGAAAAAATTCGGTTGTATATGAGGTGCCACAACCATTTTCCAATAGCTCCAATTTTTCTCCATGAATATGTGATGGATTTCATATATTTTCGTACCAAGTTCAAAAATTTTACCAGGAACGCTTCCACTACTTACTTTAGTTAGGATTAGACATAGGTTAGCCAAGGATTAGAGACATGAGCCTCTTAAAAGTAATAAGGGGTTTGATATTTTTTTTTATTTTGAGTTGCGTCGTTATTGCAGAGGACCATCGGCATGTGAATTCATATATTTCGATAATGAAATAAATTCGAGCATAAATACGATTTTTAGTTACATATAGTACATATTATTTTTCCTGTTATCAATACATATCTTAAATCTGAGGATAATCGGACCATAAGCCCGATTTTTAGTAATAACTCGACTCCTACGCCACCTGTCGGATTTTTTTTTGCAGTGGTATTGTTTTTCCTAAATACGGGTTTCAGTAATAACTCGACTCCAGTGCCACATAGCGGTTGGTTTAATAGTTACTCTGCTATTCGAAAGGTAGACAAATTCAAGAAACAAATATCATAAAAATCGGTCCAGCCGTTCTTGAGTTATAAATGGTGTAACTAACACGACTTTGTTTTATATATATAGATGAGCAGATAAACTGGATGAAAAATTTGGTCGGTTCGGTTCAGCGATTTGAACGATTTTTGCACCTTTGTATTGGTTCGTCAAAATGCTTTGTTTATTGTTTCTTTGAACTGGGGTTTTAGTTCGGTTCAATGATTTGGGAATTTAAACAAGTTATTTTTAAGCAAAAAACAAAACCGACTTCAATTTTCATATACAAATTTAACAGTATCGTTAATTTCTTCATGATCCATTGATCGGATCTAAACCAAATTAATATGGGACCATCTCTGAGGTACCACCTTTCTTTAGAAAAAAAGAATTAATAGAAATCGGTTAACGTGGTCCATGCGGTAAAATACACAAAAAAATAAATATTCCGACGAATTTATAACCTCCTCCTTTTTTTGAAGTCGATTAAAAAAACTATATATTTGTGTTATTTTTATTCCGGAACAATCTAATATAAAAACATATTTAATTGTCAAACGCTTTACATAGTAAAAAAATTTGCTGATTAGTGGAGAAAATGTGTCCATTAAAAATTGGTCGAAACGAACATTAAACCTTTATAAAAGTAAGTTCGGTTTTTGGTTCGGATCAAACTTTTGTGGAAGAATTTAGTTCGTTAATGGTTCAGTGAAGTTTGCAATTGCCTTCCGAGGGGTGGCCGCTTATAAAAAAAAATCTTTGTGCTTTGATGTTGCCGGGAACAGTAATTTAACCACGGACCTAGAATAAGTGCAACTATATTAAATCAGTAATAGCGGTGGATTAAGCGAAAATAATGTAGGTGAATGTACACTGCTCGGGGTAATGCAGAAACACAAGAAAGATTTACTTGCCGACATTTCGTTGTCGGTTCCCCTAAATTCGTACACATTTTTTATATTCGAAGTCCTATGAATTTTTAAACAGTCTTCTCTGGCGTAACAATGCTGATGCGAGTATACTGGCAATATTTTTTTATTTACCATAAATTTTACCTCTTAAGTTTGCTGCGTTTCTAGGAATTTATGCGCCCGATTTTTGTTTGTTTGAAGTGAGACAGTCTAATTTATGTATATATGTATGTATGTAGACTAAAATGTCAGTGTATTTAATTAACCACATTTTAAACTTACGCATAAATCCAGCAGTTATCGCATTTAACAACTCGAGCGCCTTTTCGAACTCGCGGAAATTCTTCGATTCCAGCGCCAGCCTAAGCGTACCCTTGCATGCCTTATGATTATTGTTCTTTAAAAATAGTTCACTACTTACACCAGCTACATTATATGTATATTTGTATTATACATTATCTATGGTTTATATGTATTTAATGTCACTCTCTTACTCACTTGCAGATCCTTTGTGCCACCGGTGCGTGACGAGGAAAGCGAAACACAACGTAAGGCACACGCTAAGCGCGTACGTGAGACGCGTCGCTCTACACAAGGTGTAACGTTGGACGAAATTAAGAGTGCCGAAGAGTTGGTTAAGAAGAAAAATTCAACCATGAATAACAACAATAACAGCAGCAGCGTAAGTACACAGTTAAAACAAATTCCGAACTAAAAATTGGCACTTGCCGCATACTCGTTAATATCTAAGTGCAAAACAATTAAAAAAAAACAGACTATATATTGTTACTATTTATTGTGCTGTATATGCATACATACTTACTACATACATACATTTGCCATAACGTAGCATTATTTCATCAAAATGGAAAAATGTCAACATGCATAAAAGTTATTGTTATACATATTCACATAAATTTTTTTTCCCAAATATATGTGCGTTTTAATAACTGTATTTGTGTAAAACTTGCAACAGTTAAAAACCAATGCGAAAACTCTCATCTTGTACCACCGTACAACAATGTCCTGCAGGAGTTTGTGTCGCCATCACCAATACCAACACCAACCCCACCACCACTTTCACCATTTCCACAGACGAACAGTCAACCACTGCCACCTTCAATTACCTAGCCCATTTAAAATTTCTATATTTGTATTGTATTTGTCTCTCATAAAAAAAAACATGTTGCACAGGTTACAGTCAATATCAAAAGTAAATACACAAATTTAAGTTGAAAGAAGAAAGTAATTGCTTTGGAAGCGGTGCTGTTATTTGATAATATTTAAAATGAATTTAGGATTTTACATACTTACGTATATATTATATTGTTTGTTGGTTTGGATAATCGATTAATCGTAGTACCAATTTCATCACAACCCAATCAATCCAAGCAACCACCACCAACCAACCAACCAACCAACCAAACAAACAGCCAATGCAATCACCCACAGTCCACATGTACACTTCAATTCTCACTAAACTACGCACTACTTGGATTTGTGACCAACCACCTAGGGGCTTTGGAACTACTATAACTGTTTATATATTGCGGTGTTGATTTTTGTCGGTTATGTATCAATGTATAAAATACTACTATGTACTTTGCAAGGAAGAAGTGTTTACTACTTACTACAGCACATTAGGAACAAAAACAAAATGGAAACTTTATACTTGCATTAAATCTAGACTTAGACTTGCATTAAATCTACATGCATTTTTCCATCAATAATATTGTGCATACATACATACATACATGACCTGTATTGTGGCATTTTGAAGCTTTAAATATGTATGTACTTTTAATGCTGTAATGTATATGGTGCTGTTTGTTTTAGTTTTTGCTAAAACATGCCATTAACCTCATAGCCTGTGTTGCAAAAAGAAGCGAATTGATCTTTTAACAGCGTTTAAAAAGCAAAAAAAACAAAAAATGTTTATCAAAAATGAAAATAAGCTTNAAAAAAAGTTTCCGTACGTCATGCGGACTGCGCCCCTCGTGTCGGTTGGGCGGGAATGGAGGGTAAAAAGCCGTTGGGATTAATTAAAAAAAAAAAAAAAAGTAGCGCAAAGCAAATGCGAAAACGCTTAAATAATGCTCAAAATTTGACAGCAACCGCCATTAGTTCCTTTAATGCAACTGAATATACTTATTTAGGAGCATCTGCACAGGATGATACGCGCCTTTCAAAACTCTACTTCTACTTATATATCTTTACTCTTTAACTTGATTGAATAATTTCTTAGGCAGCACTAGTATTCGTTACGATTGCGTCGTTTTGTATTGCATAGTCGTTCCGTTAGTTTATAAGTATTTTGAAATAAATAGTGAACAAAATATATATTTGTATTTTTTAACTAATTTAGAATGCTTTTATCTAAAAAAAATGTTGTTAAGTAGCACAATGATGTGTTTATAGTATTTATATGCATATGTTATATAATTTTAAAAATATTTGAATATTAAATAGCGTAGTCATCATTAACAAAAGGCCATACATTCATACATACATAATATGCATGAAGTTCTTATAAAAAGATTTAAATGATATATTAAGTTATATTTCAGATTTTCATAATGAAACTCATAATTTTAGCATTAAATTTGAATATTTATATTCAGATAATGTTTGAACGTAGATTTTTAATTTTTATTTTTTCGATTTAAATTATTGGATTTAAATTTTTTCTACAGTTATGCTTTATTTCCATTTGGCATTAAATGGCAAAAATTGTAATGACAATGTTGGGCATAAAAAAATATACGTGTCATTACGTTGAAAAAAATAGTCATTAAATTAATTTCCATATGGCATTTTTTAAATGCCCCCATTTTTTTTGTCATTTTAATGCCTAGTGGAAATTCGCCATTAGTTTCAAACACAAGTTTTTGGCGCTTTTCGGACATACATACATAAGAACAAAAACCTGATTGAAAAAATTGGAAACCAATCGCAAAGGTCTAAAATTATCGAAATTATCAAATCTTCGCGAATTAATCTGTTTTGATGCGAATTTATCTATCTGTGTTCAAAAAATAAAAATCACAAAAAAAGATTAAAGCTGGTCGAGAAAATAACAATCAAAATACAATTAAAATTTAAAGCTTCCAATTAAAAATTTTGTTATTCGAAAATATACCCACAAGGTTTATTTTCTGTCTCTGGATTTATGTATACTCGAAAATTTCGAATTTCCAATATTATCGTTCTAAAGTATTTTATGGGCAATGTAAGAGCGAGCAAACGGCATTCAAAAATTTCGAAAATATTACTTTTTTGTTAATGATGACGTTTTTAATTTTTATATTATCTATACGTAGTAAGTACTTAAATATGTTGTATGACTCTTGTATTATAGTTGTTTAAATGCGCATTCGTTATTATTTTAAGAAATATTCGAAATTGAGATTTCGTTTTCTCGTAAATTGTCGCAAGTATTAAATAGTGTGCTATATATGTATGTAAGTACAGTTATTCACAAATAATTGGAGTGCGATGTTTTCACCAGTTTTTTTTTTATTTGTTTAATGTTCATTTATCACAAATCCAAATTTCAAACCTGGTGCAAATATTATAAATTTTCAACAAATGTTCACCAAGATTTCAAATATTTTAGAAAAATTTTAAAGGGTGAAACCTACTGAAAAATAGGTTAATTCTTGGCAGTTTTTTTGTTAACGCTGTCATGCATTATATTCCAAAAAAAAAAAAAAACAAAAAAAAATTGCCACAAATCGACGGGACTTTTTCGAAAAATTCGGAATAAAAAGTTGGAAATTTTGGTGAATTTTTTTTTTAAGTTTTATAATGTTTGCGCAAGTTTGAAATTTGGATTTGTGGGATTGTTGGTAGGTAATGAGCTATACTTTTAGACTGAAAAAAATCGTTCATTTTATTTTAAAGACCAGCCTATATGTACTTGCCTAGCATCATACTCGGCAGGGAGTGTTTCCAAAATGAGATAAGAGTTTTTGTTTACACCCACTAAATCGCCTCTTTTACTGCATCAATGAATGCAAGGACAGCATATTTGTGAACCTGTACTTTTCCGCATTTTCCTTGATTTCTTCCTTTTGGACCAGAATTTTGTGAGTTATGAGCATAATCCAGTTTTGGAATTATTCGATTAGTTAATTTGACTGAATTCAATAGGGTTAGAGTTAGGAATGTTAATCCCGGGATCCCGGCATTTTTAAGGTCCCAAAAATCCCGGGATTTCGGGATTTGTAATTTGCACTGATGGCAATAATAGAAACTCCTTTTCTTGACCAGTATTGGCTATATTTCTTTTCCTTTATTTAATAATTAATATTTTTTTTATAAATGTCTAGCTCCTTATGAATTTAAACCGCGCGATAGTAAATTTTAAACACAAATATATTCGCGAAACCATGGGCCAAATTTGGTAAAATTACGTTTTTGGTTTTCACTCTGACGTCAGTAATTCAAAAATGATTTAAAACATTCAGAGAAATGTGCTTAGAGGAGAAATATGGGTAACAAATTAATGAGAATCCTGTAGAATTCAAACAGATTCAAGTTTCTGGTGCAGAAGGGCTGGTAAGTATTGAAAATGCCCTTTTAAAATTTTATCCTTGAAATTTCGCAATATTTGTTTTTGAAAAAATTATATTTTAAGGACTTATGTAAACACGATAACATCCTCGATTTCGTCCTTCTAACTTAATCAGGTTAAAAAAAATCCTATTCGTCCTTGTAAATCCAAAAAATTTTAATTTTTTAAATTCTAAAAAAAAAATTCCTCTTACATTTGGTACCAAGGCACATTAAACAGGTAGTATCATCAGAGCAAAAACAACATTTGCGTGTATTTTGTTGTTGCTTCTGGTATCGAAAGTGTCAAAAACTGTTCTGAATTTTTTCTTCTATATCAAAGCGTGCCATGTGAAATACAAAAAATTATAATAAATAATGGAAATTGGAAAAAATAAAAATTGATGCAACTTTCTTTCCTAGTAAATTTGTTTGCTTCTCGAAGCATTGATCCATCCTTTGCAAGGCCCAGTAATCAGCGGTCGTGCTGCCGAGTTGGGCGAACGTTCCAAAAGCTGCTATTCAATCGCTTGTTTTGTATGGAAAAAGGTTTCACATGCAAATGGATTTTAACAATTCAGAATTTTTATGAAAAAAAATTAAAAATATTTGACATTTTCGAGACCAAATAATTTGAAAATAAATCAAATCAGCTGCTCTACTGATACTACCTGTTCAATGTACCTTGTTTGGTACCTATATTTTTATTCTACATTGCATTGAATTTTTTTAATTAATTTTTGGAGTCAATCATATCTTTGAAATTACAGTCATTTAAAAAAATCCTGACGCCAGAGAAAAAATAAGTAAAAACGCCACTTTAAATAAAAAAAGTAGGTTTCAAAGCCATTTATTTATTATTTGTTTTAGGGTAGGGGAGCTTCTCAAACAATATAGAAGCAGTTTTTTTCCATTTAAGTTGTTGAAACGTAATGAATATCTAGATCCCGGGACTCAAGAGAAATATAGTCCCTATGTGAAGCACATTCACTCCCTGCAGCCTAAAGCTTAAAAGCTGACATTTCACTACACAAATTTGTGTATTTACGTATTCGGCAAGATTAGATAGCTTAGAATTAGGTGATTAATGTTTGACCTACTTAATTTTAGAATGAAGTTCAATTTGGTGAAAATTTAGAAGGAAATTTGTTATTGAATGTCGGAGGAAATTGGGCAAAATTTGTGACGGAACAGTTCAATCCTAGTGAAGCTATTCTATACCAAATTTTTCTAAATCCAAGAACCCATAGTCCGGTGCTTTTTAAAATGCTTAATGGTTGAAATCAGTCTAGGTTATTAGTACTCGTAATTTTCAAGAGATCCGGAAATGTGCTTTATATTCTCATCGAAATTCCTTAACGGCATAAAAGAAAGGAAATTTTCGCAAGCCGTAATGGCTTTAAACTGTATCGAAGATAACTTTTACGCACCTAAATATACTACAACTGGTAATCAAACGGCAATTTGAGTTGGTAAAACGAAATCTTTTTTTTTTTTCATTTATTCAATATTTGAACGTTTGCATGGTATGCAACTTTGTATATGCATGGATATTTTTATTTTTATACCGATATTTTGAAGATAACCGCATAGACAAATTCGTAAGAAATTTTTGAATTTTGATACTTTTTGGCGCGCATGCGTTCACAAGATGAAACGAAGCGCGAGAAAAGTGATTTAGTGTTTGATGAAATGCACTTTTTGAATATGTATGAAAATTTTGTTAAAAAATATTTATAGTATACATATATTTAGAAAAGTTATTTTATTTTGTAAATAGAGTATGTTTAAACTTATTTTATAACTCAGAAACTCTGCTACATACAGATGTACATACATATAACTCACCAAACAAGAGAAAAAATTTGTTTTTGTTAAATTTAAAAAAATAATTATTAACAGAACGAAACGCAAGTAGCTACAGCAACAGCAGAAAATCCATCAACATCACAGCAGCAAGAAGTGGAGCCGCTGACGCAACCGCCAATAATAGCGACAGAAACAGAGGCTAGTCCACAATCGCCGCCTCGAACAGACGAAAATGAAGCACCAATCGTTCTCAGCCCCACCACCAATGCCGCAAAATGCGCCCGAGACAAGGAGGATGATGATAAGGAGGCACCAGAGGATGCCGAAAAGGATGAATGCGCTGTGGACAATGATGGCGAAGATGTTTCTGCCTCATTCACAATCGTTGCACCAACCCGAAAGATCGTCACACCAACAGAAGATGCAACGACTGATGAAAACACCGACGATAATGACGAAGAAGTTAGCGCCTCGTACACACTGACCCCGCGACATTCGTTTATCGGCAGCGCAGTGCCCAATGAAGCGGTGGAAACGACGATAGTGGTCACTCCACCGGAGATGACTATCAATGAAAGCGCGGTCGCTGAGGAGGTAACGGTCAGGAAAAAACAAGTTGCGAAAGAAACCGAAAACGATGACGAGAATGCGGAAGAGGACGAGGACGACGATGAAGATGAGAGCAGGGATGACGACGAAGAAGCGAACGAGAATGAAGCCGAGGCTGCAAGCAAACGTGAATCGTTAAAACAGAGCGCTGCAGAAAAAAGTGCAGAAACGCTGCAAGTTGCAGCTGCCGATGTGGAGGCGGAAGATGCCGATGAAGAGCAGAACGAAAACGCAGATGAAGAGGTGCAAGGTGACACGGAGGATGACTCAGATGAAAGTGAAACTATTGAAGTCCACAATTTACAAAATGCAAATGAAAAGACTGAACGCCCTGTGCCGAAACAGATTGAGCCCAGTGAGAATTCCACTACCAAATCCCCCGTCTTAACCACCAGCACAACTTCCAACGAACGTTCCCGCTTAAGCACACTAACACCATTGCCACTAGCAGTGACTACTGTGGGCGCTTCCGCAAGCAAATCCTCAGTGCATCCGACTAGTGCAGTTACTACACCGATTACGCCAACGTCGTCGTCGTCGTCGTCGCCACCGCCACCTACACTCGAAAGCCCTGTGCGCTTGCGTGAAAAACGAATACCCCCCTATGAAACTGACAGCAACAATGCCTTAACGCTTGTCGAGCGGCTGCGTTACGAAGCGAGTAAATATAGTGGGGCTGGTGGTGATGAACTAGTGGCTGTAAGCAAAACACGCTCGCTACCACCAACGTTACAAGGCGGTGGCGTCGGCGGCGGCGGCGGTGGGACTGAAGATGGCGCTGGCGGTGGCATTAACGCTTGCATTGACAATAATGAGCCAGCGCTGGCGCCAACAACAACTTACAGCAAAATATTTGGTGGCAGTCGGCGCAGCTTAGATTCGACTTCACTGCCACTACAAAGCCATGGCAGCCTGGCAACGGAACAAGCGAATATCAGTGCTTTTGGTAGTATTAGTAGTTGTAGTAGTATTAGCGGTACGGCGACAGCAACGTCGGCGGCGTCGGGCAGCCATGCTAGTAGTACGACGGCAGCGGCGTCATCGTTGTCCTCCTCCTCCTCCTCGAATACGATGGCTGAGCGGCGTCCATCTTGGCGTTTGAAATTCGATGCTGGCTGTAAGGTAATACTTCGTACGCGCATGCGTACAACACTTTAGTACAAAAACAAAAAAACAAAAAACCAAAACGAGAATAATAAGTTCAATATATTACGAAACAAACCACCCACCAAATAATAGATCAATCCAAAAAACAAAACGTTCAACTATTTCGAGGGGTTTACAATACGCGTGTCTTCACTCGTTTGTTCGTTCGTTCGTTCGTTGAGTTCAAGTCCGTATACTCGTAGTTGAGACCAAGTACTTGTACAAATGTTTTGTTAGAAAAATATGCCACCTGCAAGCAAACATTTACTAGAAAGCGCAAGCGTAAAGTTGGTGCATACATACTAGCTATTATCTTGTAAGCCCTGCATAGTTTTATGTTGTTAGTAGTGCCTTCACCAACCATCAAAAAAAAAAACAAAAAATCCATTAGCGTTGCCAACACAAAACACAAGGCTTTTACAACTTTCTTTAAACGCATTGAAAACGCAAAAGTTTTCTTTCTGTTTTAAAGACAAACAAACATACAGTCATGTACACAAAAATGTAAACTCTTGAAAATATTTTATTACTGTAAATAACAATTTAAAATTACAAAAAAATAAAAAAAAATAATTTTAAATTGAAGAAATAACACAAATATTGGTTTACGGTCTACTAAAGAATTGAGAAATATATTACATAAATTTAAACTTGCAAAAAAAAAATGTATGTAAGTGAGGGGTGTTTTTATAGAGGTTCGATTATCTGATGAATTTGAAACAATCACAAATTAGTCAGATCTGGACACGATTTTATCAATTTTGTAGTAGTCTGTAAGAATATATTGTTTATAGGCCATAATAACGCTTGGAAATTGTACAAATTTATTTCGAAAATAATGGTTCAGCTCGGGAATGCCCATTTGTGAACTTTGTGTAAGCTTTGAAACTTTATTTATTTTTTATATGTTTTTTGTTATGTGTCGAACTATACATATTTTAAATTAAAATTAATAATTTTCGAATTTTGCACCTATTCTTTTCTCCATGCGTGTATATTTCTAATAAAGTCAAGTGAGTTTGGAATTAGGTAATTATTTCAGTTTAAAGCTCTATACATACACCTCTAGAAGTACACTCCTTACTAAAATAAATCAATATATTAATAAACTGTTTTTGGTAAAAAAAAAATCACTACCTTATCGTACATTAAATCAAAAATTTATATTGAAGCTTAAATTTATGTAAATATTTGTATGCTTACCGTCTTAACATGTGTCTCGAAGCCAAGTCATATGGAAATCATTGCATAGTTTTAGTCACAAATAAGAATGGAAAATGCTCTCGCAATTACCTTGAAAAAAATATATCAACCCTGCTGTGACTCAACTACGCGGTGCTTGATAAGACCGTTAAAATGTTATAATTTATTTTGAAACAGTAATTTAATTTTACTTACTTATATAATATTAATTTTATATACTTATTTATTAATGGATTTTAATTTTATCAAGTAGTTTCTAAATTGAAAATGCCTGCTTTTTATTTACTCCTCTACTGTAATTGGAAGTAGTAGTTTGTATGGTAAACTTATGTCGCCGCCCAGCAATGTCTATCACCACTCTACTCATACTTTCTTTTTGTCTTCCTATCGCTGTTGCTACTACTAATTGTTGCTTTATTTGTATTTATATACTAAATGTATATATTATTAGTGTATATAATTGTTTTTTTTTTTTTTTTTAAATTATTTATTAACAATGCCTAAAATTATTCACATCTCGTACATCAACCTTAACCTGTGTCTCCTACTAAGCGTCTATACCCACCCTAAATTATGCTGTTATGTATTAAATGTAATTTTTTTTTTGTATTCTTAGATGTGCACTATATTTATGTATATGTACATATGTACACTCATATGTATGTATTCATCTTCGATCTCTAAATTTCCATTTAAAAACTGCAGCTTTTGCCGACACTCACTGCTATCACATGTACATCTATGCGTTTCCATCTGTGCCTAAAACTCGCATTTGAAATTGCTTTAAATACTAACAGGAGTGCCTTAATTTTAACAGGGCTTGAACTAGCAAGCTTTACTAAGCTTTTTTCGAAGCGTTGAAACAGGCAAAAATACAATAAAGGACAATTTTTATTCTCCTTTAACAATAATAGGTTTTATCTTACTTTACTTACGTTCCGAAAGTGTCCATTTTGGAATTCAGTTAGGCAGAAAATTAAAATTTTTTGTTATAAAATTAAAGACATTCGTAAGGGTAGTATTAGTAAGTGTCACTAATGATAAATAAAAAAAAATGTTTTCTTACTACATTGGGTTAGATTTAAGTGGCGGTTAGCATTCAATGTAGGACTAGTCTCCATGATGGCCTGATGTACAAAAAAAAAAAAAAACAAAAATAAGGTAAAATTGTACCTCTTTACGGCAGAGCAATGATAGAAATAGCACTCCATGCTTTCACTTTTTTCTCATCACGGCAACCGCGTCCGAACTCCTTAGCCAGCAAGCCCTTTCTACTTGCGTGTCTTCCCATTAAGCGTTGTCCGGCTTTAATTTAGTCGGATGCATACATATATGCAAATCCATAGCTGCGCTATCCACTATTTCGCGAAACATTTTTTTAAATTTATTTCACTGAATAGATTTTAGCTCAAAAATAATTTAATTATTTTTTTTCACTTGTTAACAAATTTGTTTAAAATCCTCGCGTGTTTTTTAAATACAAGTTCCTTGAATTTACTTTATAGATATATCGGTCAAGTCGGCTATAGACATATTGAAAATTAACCATTTTACATACATTTGAATACGCCTCATAAAGTACTATTTGGCATTTCCGGATAATGTATTTATTTTATGGCCGTGCATTAAATAAGTTTCGTCCCGCCAAACAGTGGTCCAATTTAGCTTGACTCTCGTGCGTATATATTTTATAGTACGTACATATGTAGGTCTGAAATTTCTGCGTATAGAACGAGCTGCTTATTGGCAAATGGTGACACTACTTATTGGTCCGAAATTTCTTTTGTATGGAAACTAATGCTCATTAACTCAAATAAACAAATAAAGAGGTTATGGTTAAAAAAAAAACACGACAAACTGTAATTGCAAACTGAAAGGCAAATTCAGTTTATAAAGTAGAAAAATACACCTCCCGCAAACCTGTATGTAGATTGCCATATTTCTCTTAAAATGTTTTGCGTTTTTGTGTGCACCCATTTACCAACCAACGTAGAACGTTTACCACCCTTTTGAAGTACTCGATTACTTAATGTACCTACACCTCTATTAACGTGCGGTTCCGAACTCTTCTCACACAATCAAGATACATTTTGCCTAAGTAGCCTAATAATTGCATAGATTTTAAATTTAAAGTAATAACACCCGCCCATAACCTATTGTTAATTAAAAATATTTTGATAATCCTAAATTTAGTTCAAATTGGAAGATGCATCGAGTGGGAATACATTTCCGCCAAATAACAGCACCATTATACCGAGTGCGCCAGCTGTTATTGCCGCCGCCAATCTATCGTCAACCATATCACAACGTCGTATCAATAGCAATTCATGTAAGTCGCTACTCATATTCGTTTGTGTCCTCGATATAAATATGTACATATATATCGTTGAATAACATACAATTCACACATTTTTAATTACAGTGAATTCCTCGAATCAATCGCTGAATTCAATTGGACGACCCGTTTCTGCACCGGTTAATGCCAGCACATCCTCCACTTTGCTCAGCAACGATGCTCAGAGCGAAGGTGTTGGCATTTACGGTCGAAGACTCACTTCCGGAAATGCAAATACTTACAGTAGCAGCGGCAGCAGCACTGCTACTGCAACGGCGGCGGCGACCACATCCACAACCACAGCCAACGTTACGGCTTCTACGGCTACTGTGGCGTCTAAAGCCAATGAGGATAAAGGTATTTACATATATCATCAATATTTTAATTCGTTATTTTATATTTGTTTGGTCTGTATTTATTAAATATGCTTTCCATTTTTACCCACATTTAGATAACGACAAAGAAAACGATAATCGCAATTTGGCTGCATCTGCTATACAGCGAAGAAGAAAACCAAAACGAAGATCCACCGGCGTTGTACATATCGATATGGATGTAAGTACATCATTTAGAGATTTTGACGCTAACAAAAGCTGTATAGTTAGTAAGAAGACTAGCAACAAGTTTTTAATGGTTTTTGTCGGCCAAATCAAAATCTAACCTAAAAAGTATTGAGCTGAATTTTGCTTTTTAGCAATTTCAGATTGAAAACTGTAAGAATACATAATTCTCGAACATTCGGCTTCTGACATTGTTGTTGTTGTTGTAACAGCATACAAATTTCCCCAAAAGTTGTTGGGGATAATGCTGGAGTCACAGTCCTGAGCCAGATATAAATCGGGGTCGTTCCGGTTACGTAGACCCAACTGTAGCGGGCATTCCGACATGAGATTGAGAGCTTTTTATTCCAAATTTTGCAAAAATAATGGAGAGCGAGAGCTATTCCATTTTGGAAAGGTCAACTCTTAATCCGTTCCGCCATTTCCACTTTGAAATGATACCCAAAAGCAAACAATGTAGACCTACACATATTTTAACTTCTTTCCTTAGTTGATTTTAATAAGCCATTTACAAGGAATAGCCAACATTTCAAAGAAAAAAACACGGATAAGTAACATGGATTTCGCCAAGGAGAAATGCTTAGTTACTGTTATAAAAAAGTTGTCTGTTATAGGGTTTCTGCGAAGGAAACTACTTTTTCTTTCACTTCTGAAAAATTCATAAAAAGCCTGGAAGCACTTTTTAAGACCACGTGCAATTAAGTTACTGTACTTGTGAAGAACGTGTGCGATATTTCGTGCATTATTTACTCAATTACTTAAATTCTAAATGCTAATTCATATCATCGTTGATTTAGGCAGTTTCCGTTTTTCAGCAACACCAAGTTAGAAAAAAAAGTGCATGAATACCAGTATTAAAAATACCCTAAAAAGTTATTCGTGCCTGCAAATATCTTACATCAAATTTCAGCGCTAAATCAAGTTAATGTAAACACGTTGTAAAATTATGTCAAAATTGAAAGATAGTACGTGAATTCCTAAAATACCATTTGTGGCATACAAACGTTTAAAATGCATACACGATTTGCAAAAATAGATATTTGAAAGCGCAATAAATTTTGCAAGTGCTAGTGTCTGTAGCTATTATAATTTATTGTAAATTTTAATTTCGAAAATTCATTGGGCGTCAGTTATACTATTTACGTATATACTTATATGCATACATTGACACGCGCCTGACTTTGATTAATTAGCTGTAATTTATGAATTTATGGGCATGTTGCAAATATTTTTCAAACTATAAATTTAAATTTTCTTTCTTTTCTGCTTTTACAGGATCTCGATCCAGAACGACAAGATTCGGCCAACGATACGGAAGAGAAAGATAAGGATAAAGAGGTGAGTGCTGCACTTTAATAAATGTATTCTTATATATATTGTATATTAAAAGATACATAGAGATATACTACTGCGTGATGGTAGTATATAAATATTAGTAATAACAGCAACAACAACTATAGAAATAATCATCAACTCAAATTTTTATGAATCTAAAATTAGATAAAAAATTGCGATTCTTATACAAAAAGTAATGATGCAGTAAGTGTAAATTTTAAAGGTCTATATTTACGTACATAAATAAATTTATATCTATTGAATTTGGGGCGAAAAATTTAAAGTTTGAAAATATGTCAACAGTAGAAATATAATTTTTTAGTATGTGTCAGCAGTTGTTTCATTAGAATTTTGATGCAATTTTTTAAGTTTATATTAGGTTTGTTCCACACGAGCCCACGGGATCCCGCGAGTGCCCAAAACAGCCCAGAAAGCGTTCCTCATGCTAGAAAAATGGGTAATATAGAGCAAATACGTTCCACTTTTGGATCGCAAATGTCTTCTTCTTCTTCGAGTCCGAAACAGCCCGGACTTTTTTTACTAGCAGAAATGTGCAAATTCAAATTGCCATAACAGCTGTTGTTTGTTTACATCTGAAAGCAAATTTTATAAAACACAAAATGGAAATTACCACTAAAGTTAAAAAAAAAATGTTGGTATTTGCTAATTTTATTCGCCATTTAAGATAAATACGCATAAAATCCGTTTTTAGAGCTGATTCGTTGATTCCGGGCACGAAATGTGGTTTTTTGCGTTCCTCTCGCTCTGGGCACTTTTAGCACATTTTGACAAATTTTTTACTTATTTTTACTCTCTAATTGCCGAAACAGCGCGGAAAGCTTGTGGAACAAAGCTATTATTTTCCCCTATAGAATGATTTATTGAAAAGGGGTGTACCACCACAATATCCCCAAAATCAAAATCTTCAAATTTTTAAAAGAATTTAACCGTGTAAAAGCAAATAGAAAATACAAAAGATAATGAACAAGAATTGTTTTCAAGTACTTGAATCGTGTAAATCGGGTGTATGTACCTACGAATTAGAACAATACGATCGGTAATAACATTTATTCAAAAATTTGGGGATTTTGTGACACTGTCACCAAACAAATTTGGGGATTTCGTGTTTAGGGATTTTATTTTTGGGATAATGTATTTGGGGATTTTTTTTTTAAACTGGGGATTTTGTGTTTGGGGATTTTGTTTTCGGCGATTTCGTGGCTCTCCCATTGCAAATAACATCTGAACAATATGACAAATTTGTAAAAGTAGTGTGGATTAGTTACCGCCAAATGCTTTATAAATATCATTGCCAATATAATACCAAAATTTCTGTGTTGCTTAATGCTCGAGATCGATTCTCCAAACTTAGAAGAACTGAACAGGGCGTTTGCCCGGTATTTTAAAGTGAATGGTTATTCAAACTTTATTCACTTCACAGAACCGGACCCTTTTCTCTATGAAATCAACAAAAACCTTTTTTAACCACCTGCACGAAGGAGGTCGAAATGAGTTTGGGCAAACGGGTCGATGAAATAATAATTCTGACCGTAAATAATCTGAAAACTTACAACTTGCTCTTCCTCTCTGTACACACAACGTCAATCGGCAACAAAATAAAGTCCTAAAACTGTTCACCGACAGCACTTGGGGGGGTAAAGCAAAGAAACTTACAAGGCGTTTGCGCGGCCAATTCTAAACTATACAACGCCTGTGTGCCCATCAGGGTTTAATAGGACGCAATGGGCGAAACTTCACATTGTCAGAACGCCACATTACCTTCTGATGTCGCCTGAGCATCTTTTACACCGCGAGGCCCAAAAGCATAACATCATGCTGGGCAAGCGATACCGTAGTAACCACCCATGGCGCATTAGAAAAAAAAACTAGGTTCTGTCAATGCTAGCTAGCCATAAACAGGCCTTAAACAGGATCAATCGAAAATCGATTAATACGTTCGTCAACTCTCGCCTCTAAAAGCCGCCATCAAAGACCAAGCAACTACTTGTATCGTACATGAAGAGTTCGAGTAAAAAAAACCGGTTAGAAAGACACTTATCTTCGACATTTTCGAGTTAAGGCTTATTTTGTAGAAAATAAAAATTTCAAAAGATGTACATATGTGTCTATGATGACGGCAATCCATGAGTTTGCAAAATTGTCTGGTTTGGTGTTTTCAAAATATTTGTGTAGGAAATGAAACACTTTCTGGGATCAATTTTAAAGTGATTTATGATAATTTTCTTCCTTCATTTTATATACCTTTCAATTGTAATAAAAAAAAAATCCTAAAAGAAATTGATCATTAAGAGCGAAATTTATTTTAATTAGTTCCCACACAGTAATTACAAGAAAAATTCAACACTTTGCACACGCGTACATATACCCAGCCATACATGCACAAATGTAAATTTACTGTGTTAAATGTGTTTAAAAGGAAAAAGTAATTTCCCTAGGTAATTACGTTGCACTGGCGTCGTAATTTCCCAACTGCAGCCATTCGCAATTGTGGCTGCTGCGTAGGATGCGGAACTCAATAAGCATTGGCACTAGATATGTATCTACTTATATGCATATATGTGTATATACATAAGTGTATGTAAATATGTATTAAGTGCAATGCAAAAAAAAAATCCCATTGGTAAATTTGCGCTTTAGCCAATTCATGGCATGGCATTTTTTGTTGATCAGTCGGCGAGGCGGGATGCGACGCACATTCCGCGAGCACCACCATTGTTTTGTTTGTCTGTCCATCAATCGACTGTCTCACGCAACTGTTTAGCTTTAATTACCTGTTGTTGAACGGCTGCAATGACCCACTTGCTTATACGCAGATTTGGCTTAGTTAATCTGCTGATACTCGTATAATTTGGTATTTATGTATGTTTGTATAGATCTATATATGTATGTATGTGTGCTTGCAGTCTGCATGGCCTACTTATTATTATTTATTTTCACTTAAGTTTTCTCTGTGAGGTGTCAAAACGTACAAATTTCTAAGATTACCGTCGCGTCTAGCCGATATTTTGTATCGCAATCAAGCATTTGAAATTCTGTATTTACATAAGTACATATGAACATAATATATGTGTGCATTTGAGTGGCGCTATATATATATATATATGCTTCTTATATAGTTTCTACATATACATATCTCTCGGTGTGCTTTCTTACGACGCGCCATTCTGTCTACAGTCGATGACACATTCACTTGTCAAATTATGTGCACAATTTCAAGTAAAATATTTTCTTTTTATTGACATTGAATGTATTTCTAAGCCGATTGCTTATTAAACATTAAAACATTAACCAATTAATTTCAAATCCACCTCATGGTTGAGGTCAGCGGTATTAGAGCGCAAATTGTCGGCAATAATTTTAAGCGAGGCAACAATTTGTGTTTCCACTTGTTGCTGTCAGAGCTCTATCTTTTTTTTTGCACAAGCTTTTTTTCGATTGAAATTGCTGATTTTCGTAAATATTATGCATATAAATATACTCGACTACTTAAAATTTCCCCCAAAAATAATAGAATACAAATTTGTCAAACTCAATATATATTTAAAACTCTTAGTGTTTCTTAATCCCCACAAAGCGATTATATTGTATAATTGTTGCTAAAGTTGCATTATGTATGTATTTCTTTGTTGCGTTCGTATGAATGTTTGCCTTAAAATTAGTCAACATTTAAACATTAACATATTTCACACCTCATCAAACAATAGCAACTGTTTAACGAAGCGTCTATATGCCGTATGATTGACGATGTCAAGTGCGATTATGTATTGTATGAATCTTTGTACATATGTATGTACATTTTGTATGTATTTAGTCAATGTAGTTAGTTATGTGTTTGCCACATTAAGCACAACTGAATCATCAAGTACAACTAACTAAAGCTATTAATGGAAATGGCTAAAGAAATTCACTTAAAATTTCATACATCTTTTGCATCTGCTGTACATTTATTTGGCACATTCTCGTAATGTAGTATGTACATATGGTTGGGCAAATAAATGTTTATATTATTTTCTTTCACTCCCATATAAATAATAATCTAGGTATAAAGTCTGTATGTTTATACAAATGTTGCAACGTAAAAGCCAAAATGAATTTTTCTTTTGCGCCTTTTATTAATTTTTAAGTAATGCAAGGTTAGTTGCTTAAATTTAATAGCGCCATAAGTTTTGTTCCAATATAGAGAAAAAATATTTTTTTTAAACTTAAAAGATTGTGTGCTATGAATAGTTTATATCCGTAAAGCTTATGAGAAATGGAAAAACACATTAAACTGAGTTTTTCGGAAGAGAAGTGTTCATAATTTTGACAGCTAAAACTCATTCTAACACTTCCTGAATCGCAAAATGAAGAATGCACACAATTTGCAGTGTACACGTGAAAACTCACAGTTACAGAATTCAGCCCCTGGAAACTGTTAAACAGCTTTCGCTAAAAACGAAAAATTTTGATTTAATTTTTCAACCACCAAAACGGGTTTAGCGCGAAACTCCACTATTACACCACTAGAAAATAACGACACTTTCCGTTGTTTGTCTGCTTTTTCTTTTTGTCAATTAATCAAACCTCGTCAGTAACCCTAGCTATCTCCGCAAAGGTATTGTTAGATGAAATTATGCGAGAATTAATTAAGTGCAGCATTCTGATTTGTGATTCCAACTAGCGCACACTGCTAGGCAACCTATGGACCTATGAACTATGGATGGTAGGTCTTATTCGGCCCACCCTGGATATCAAAATGCCCAGAATGAAAAGAGAGAAGCCGATTATAACAGATCTGTCTGTCCGTCTGGTCTGTCCGTGTAAACGATAACTCGAACAAAAATTAAAAATCTCAACGAAATTTGGCGTATAGGTTACCCTTTATTATACGGCAACCATGCGCACTTCCCATATAACGGTGTTTTCGAAAAATGCTAGAATTACGAAACTACGGAAACTACGGCCCACTTATGAAAAATTTCAGTATCCCAGTGCACTGCACT